GGGCTCAGGGAGCCGCGCCACAGCTCTCAGCCCTCAATGCAGCCAGTGGAGAGGTGTGTCCACTGTGGCAGTGCAGCACATGGCCTTTGGACAATGACCAGGCCCACAAAGAAAGGCTCCCCACGTCTATTCTCACCTGGGGGTTCATGTTTGCTTGGACCTACATCTGGTCCAAAGGGCCCCAAACAAAACTCTAGCTTCCTTCTGAGGGTAAGAAAACCGAGGGCAGCCTCCTGCTGCCCTGAGGCCGGGTTAGGTCAGCAAACTGTGCATCTCCAGAACTTGTGCGAAGGAGTCAAATAGGGACCTCTTGGGACCTCTGCATGACCCACACAGGGTCCTGACCCCAGCCAGCGACCAATGGGGCCATGTCTGACCAGGCACCCAGCACGGGAACCCCTACCTGAGACCCAGGGCAGGAGAGGACAGCACCTAGGGCAGGACGCAGACATGAAGGGGCCCATCTGACAAGACTCAGTGGCACAGGGAGCTAGAAATGCAGCCCTTACAGATGTGACAGGGCCAGAGCCTGGGGCAGCAGGCCTGAGCAAGGTGAGGCCAGGGGCAGCACCCAGAGGAGCAGCCTGGTACGGCCGCCCCTGCTCCCTGGGGCCCTGAGCACCTGCTACTGGACTGTGCGGTGCCATAGACTCTCCCACCTCCAGGCTGTCCTCCCAGGAGGTCAAGTTTCTAGCCCTAAAAAAGAAAAAAATCCTGTCCTGTTTCGTGAGCAGGCAACACCAGCTCTGCAGTCTGCTCCCCGCTGGGCAGATGGAAACACCAAGGCCTGACCCAGGAACGCCTGGCTGGGAAGGAAGGTCGTGTGTGGGTGTGTGGGGAGTGCAAACGGTGGGTGTGTGCGGTGTGTAGGGTGTGGTGTGGGGTGGGTGCGTGGTGTGTGGGTTGTGTGTGGCGTGTGTGTATGTGAGTGTGGTAGGGGACGTGCAGGGGGTGGTATGTGTATGGTTGTGTGGTGTGGTTGTGTGTGTGATGTGCATTTGTATGTGGTGTATCTGTGTGACTGTGTGGTATGGTGTGTGTGCTATGAATGTGTGTGGTTTGTTGTATGAGTCTGAGCGTGGTGAGTGTGTGGTACGAGTGTGAGTGTGTGGTATGGGTATCTGTGTGGTGTGCATGTGAGTGTGTGGATTTGTGTTAGGAATGAGTGTGGCGGGGTGTGGGGAGCAGACTCTTGGCCGTGGCTCCTCCCCGTCCCCATGGGCACACCAGGCACACTGCACATGTAGCACTGGGGCTCCCACGTCCACCCAGAGGGCGGGAAGGGCAAGGGGCCAGCGAGTGCACAGTGCACAGCCAGGCAAGTCCTTCCTGAGCAAAGGGCTGGGAGGCAGCAGGAGGCCACTACTGCAGGCCGTCACTTGCAACACCAGAGCCCAGAGAAGCCCAGTCCTTGTGGAGGGTCTCCTGATGGAGTCACGCACGTGTGGGACAAGGATCCGGCCAGGGGAGGACGACCCGCCGTCCCCCTGGCACCTCACAGAATCTCTGCCTTTTAAGCGGCTCTCACGCCTCCCACAGAAGCTGCCTTGAAAGGCCCCCAAATGCCCCACTCACAGGGTGGAGAGAAAACACAATTTCAATTAAGGTCCCGGGCTGTCAAAAACATCAAGTTATTAATCTCCTTGTGGTAAATGTGAACTGGGACCTGCTTACACAGCCAATTGAGCGTGCTCTAAATTAGTGTTTGCAGGTAATTGATTCGCCTGCCAGCCCCATGCCAGCCGGCTACAAGCTGGTAACGCCACGAACATTAAATAACACGAGGCGGCAAAATGGACCGCCTGATTGGGCCCGCAGTCAGATGCTGTTAGCGCCCGATTTACCCAGACGTTAACGTCTTATTGGTTTAACACAATTTACTACACCTCAGTTGCAGAAAATGATTTTCATGTCCTCTGAAACCTCACTCCCAGGCACGGCACAAAGAGGTGTCTTCTTAAATGCCATCAGCTCACTTTTTTTTTCTTTAACATACTTCCAAGATTTTATAACAAATCTTTGAGAAAATAAACAAACAAAAAAAGATGAGGCTTAGCACTAGGCCGCCCCTGGCCAGCATCTCTTGAGTCTGAGCACAGCTGTCCTGGGGAGGGGTGTGCCCCCCAAGAAAATCAGCCCTGCCTCCACCTCCGCCCCCAGGGCTCTCTGCCCTCCCTGGTGTCTCTGTATGAGGCTGGGCTGGCTGTGCTCCCAGCAGAAGGGTCAGCAGGTTTGAGGGACGCTCACCTTACTCACAGGGCACTATCAGCAAAAACAGAAAAGCAGCAGGCTTACGTTAACCCAGTGAGTCAGCCTGACCACCCCCTCCCCCGCCAGACCTTCCGAGGCAGCAGTCTAGCCTGTGTTCAAAGGACCACACCCCAGCAACAACCAACATCACCTGCTTTAGAAGAGATTTTTATTCCCCAACTAGTTAAGAAAAGAATTCTAAAGTTCCTGGTAGAACAGAAGATAGCAGAAAAATAGCTCCAGACCTTTTCTTCTCTCTTCCGCCCATCTATGGTACCAACCCACACACTTCCTGACACCAGCTGTGGGTCAGATCCTGTGCTGATAAATGAGAGATGGCCCTGAGGATGACACTTCCAGACTCCCAAGGACACGAGCCACAAAACTATGCCACCCAGTCCTCTGGGCAGTGACGTGTGCCCAAAGGGAGGGAGCTGGGGGCAGAAAGAAGACTCAGCCCCCCTCAAGGCTCCAGACACCCCAGCGGCTTCAATCATCTTCCTCACATCTGGCCAGGGACATCCCAGTGTGTGACAGCCTCTCCCACATCCATCTTCCTACCAGCTTTTGGGGGAGGTGACCCCTAATCCTACCTGTCCTTCAGAGCAGGCTTCATGTCTCATTTTTGTCATCCCACTCCCCGCCTGACAGCCTCCCCACGCTCTCAGCTCTTGGGGATCCACCAAGCAGATGGCTGCCTTGCTGAATAGAGGCCCCAAGGCAGGCAGTTCCCATGGCTGGGCGCGGGCCAGCTGAGAGTGGGCGCAGCACACAGCAGGTGTACAACAGAGAGCTTGCGGGCATGCAAGCTGACTCGATACTGCTCAGCACCAAGTGTCAGCAGCTGGGCCAACCCAGGGCACTCGGGTCAGGGGGAGGCTGAGTAGGACGCAGACAGTCAAGTCTCCCCAGAGCTCAGTGTGACGAGAGACTTTCCATCAACAACCAAGTGCAATGTGTGGGCTTTGCTAGAACCTCAACTTGAACAAATTAAATGTAATAAGATAGTTTTGGACCCATATGGGCTAGAGATTGGTAATATTAAGGAATTATTATTTGGTTAGATGTGATATTGGCATGGTGGTTACATAAAGGAAAAAAGTATTCTTGTCACCTGGGATACCTACTGAAGAAAATTTACAAGCGAGATGACATGCTGTCTGGGACCCAGCATCAAAATACTCTAGTAAACAAAACTAAACCAAAAACCTAATCAAGACTTCAGGGTTCATGACACTCTTCTATTATTTTGAATATTTGAAATTTCTCATTAAAAGGAAAAAAAAAAAAGACCTCTATTACGTAGAGGGGCAGGAGAGCTGGGGGAAGGATTCCAGGATCCCCGGCCCACACAGCTCTGCCCATAGGTCAGGTAGGGTCAGACACTAGGATGTGGTGGAGGGGTCCCCAGGAGCTCCCTTCAGAGCTGGACTCCCCACTGCACAGGGGACAGGCTGCCAGCAGGCAGTGGACAGCAGGGCTCCACTCTGGGATAAGCTGGTCTTGCTCCAGTTTCTTGGTTATTTTTATTTGAGGCATCAGCTATGGGTCAATATGATCCAACTCAACTGGGAGGTTTCTGGGACAGGGCCTATCTCAGGGACCCAATGTCCAGTCCATGCCCTGGGGTGGTCCTGCAGCACCCTTCCTAACCCAGATGGGGGGTGGGGCTGAAGATCCCGAGAATACCAGACCTGGTGCCACACAGCAGCAGCAGACCTCACAAACGCAGACACCCGACAGGTCTGCAGGCCCTTCCCCATCGTCCTCAGCATGACAGAACTGGACATCACTGCACCCAGGACAAGTCCGCTTTAACCTCTTTCTTCCTGCCCGGTGTAAGACGAGAGCCTCACGCAGGCTAATGTCCAGAACTTCTTTCAGTGTGATTGTTTAAAAGAGATGCCTACGTCCACCCCACAGTAGTGGAGGATGGAAACATGCCCGCTGACCAGAACTGACCTGATGTGAGCAGCACTGATAAAGCAGGCAGGCCTGGGGCCTGGGAGGGCCATGTGGAACCAGCATGCTCCCAGAGCCAGGCCCCAGGGTGCACTTGGGCCCTGCCAGGTGGGGAGGAAAGGGAAGCCTAGGGCAGAGAGGGGAGCAGGGCAGCCTGTTCACGGCCCCTCCAGAGACCGTCCAGGTGGTACCACTGCAGCTCTGAGTCATACCTTGGGCAGAAGCGTGCTGACCCCAGGTCCCCAGCAGGCTAAGCCGACCAGGCCATACCCATCTTCCCATCTGGGCAGCCCTGGGAAGCTCCCCAGTAGTACGGCTCACTGCAGGCCTAATTGGAGCCGAAGGCCGATGGAGCTCTCCAGAGCACTTTATGAGCCGTTTAACCATCCCTCGACCCCACGGTCCAAGCACAGAAGGCATAATGGCTGTGTTTACACATAAAAATGGCAAGCTGTTTTACTAGCGGCTTTCAGAGTCACAAGAGCGGCTATTTGGTAAAGTCTCCAGCAAATTACAGAAACAAAGTCCAAGAGTGGAATGATGGGGCACTAAACCACCCAGAAAAGTCATCAAAGGTCATTACCATCAAACACTCTGCTATCAGCCAACGGAGGTGGCCGCAGTCAAACGAAAAATAATCTCTGCCCAAGATCCCAGGGCCCCGCTCGGAAGCCCCACCTGATGCCTGTCGCGGCAGCCTCATCTGTTACTTGCTCAAGGAACATAAATTATTGTTTTCTTTTTTTTCCTCAACATTTAATCTTTACCCAGAGAATCAGGCGGCTTACCTTTCCAGCTCATATTCTTTCATTCCCACTTTTACAGCCTTCATTACCTGGAGGATGGATATTAAGCAAAGACATTTGTATTAAGCAGATAAGTAACACAGCCTTATAAATAATGTATAGCAGTTTTTCAAAAGAGCCTCTTCTTTAAAGAAAAAAATTGGAATGATACGTGCACTACAAAAATGTGACAAATTAGAACTTGGGTTTTTTTGTGTGTGAGACAGCGTCTCACTCTTGTCACCCTGGGTAGAGTGCTGTAGCGTCATAGCTCACAGCAACCTCAGTTTCTTGGACTCAAGCAATCCACCTGCCTCAGCCTTCTGAGTAGCTGGGAGTACAGGCACCGACCACAAAGCCTGGCTAATGTTTCTATTTTTAGTAGAGACAGGGTCTTGCTCTTGCTCAGGGTGGTCTGACTTTCTAAAGTCCTGACTTTCTAAAGCTCCAAATCCACAGGGGTTATTTAAACCACTCTAGGGCCCTTGCGTGGGTGACCCATAAACACCAAACATCCGGTTACAGCTCAGAGGCAGGGGAAGCCTGAGGGCAGGGACATTCAACCGAGCTGTGTTTGAATGTGTGTGAATACCTGATGCTACGAAAGCTATGGCCACAGTCACATGACGGTTTCCTCTGTCTTACTTTCATAAAACACAGAGAAGATTAACTCCTATGGGAGGCCACGCTGCCCATCAGTCGCCCCTAATGCAAAGCCGCAGCCGTCCCTGAGCAGGCAATGGGCCGCACAGCCTCCCTGGATGTCTTCGAGACAGACTCATCTTTCCTTACTTAGTCTTGTTCCTCCAGTACAGTGAGAAGGCTTGAAAAAGAACTACGTGGAGATGTTTCCAGAAAATGGATGGCGAGAACTAGCATCCCTGAATCACAGTTAAGGACAAAAGAGTCTTTAAAATGAGCTGGGAGCTGTGGAACTTGTCAGGAAGGACAGCCCTACCCTCCTGGAAGTCGGGACTATTTTTGTTGGAGAATTCCCTGAAGAAGCAGCGTCCACTGCCCCAGGAATGATGGTGCTTTAATTAAGGTGAGAATCCAAGGCAGAGCATCTCCTGTCCCTGCCCTGTGCCCCTGGGGAACAGAAAAGAGGACTGCTGGGCGAGATGGCTCACACCTGTAATCCTGCACTCGGGAGGCCGGGCAGTGGATCGCCTGGGCTCAGACCAGCCTGAGCAAGAGCCAGACCCCATGGCTCACACCTGTAATCCTGCGCGCAGGGAGGCCGGGCAGTGGATTGCTTGGGCTCAGGATTCGAGACCAGCCTGAGCAAGAGCCAGACCCCATCTCTACTAAAATCAGAAAAACTAGTGGGGTGTCATGGTGGGCTCCTGTAGTCCCAGCTACTCAGGAGGCTGAGGCAAGAGGACTGCTTGAGCCCAGGAGTTTGAGGTTGCTGTGAGCTACAATGATGGCACAGCACTGTGCCCAGGGTGACAGACCCCACAGAGGAAGGCTGCTTGTCCCACCCACAGAGCCGGCAGCCCACTCACCTCCCGGTGGGCCTCACTGGAGATTCTGTTGGTGTAGCGTAACACCTCCAGCTCCATGTCCGTCTTAAACACTCGGCTTCAGAGAGAAAAACAGACAGCAAGTCAGTGACCTCCAGAAAGACCTGGCTGAAGCCCTCTGGGGAGACCTCAGGGCTGGCTACACCCTGTACAGCCCAGGAAGGGGCAAAGTGGGGCCAGCAAGGCCTCACAGTGATGCAATTCCCCCACCCAGGGGTCAGGGGCGCCCCGGTACTGCCGGCCTGCACGCCCTTACCCCAGCCACCGCAGGCAGGCTGTTTTCCAGTGACAAGATCTGAAAGCTGCTACAGGTGGTAGAAGCAGCCCAACCTCTGTGGCCAGCACAGCTGACCTCCTGGAGCCTCAGTTTCCCCATTCGTGGAAGGGGGGTCATATTGACATGGCAAGGCTGTTGGACCTAATGCCACATCCCAGGGCTCTGCCCTGTTGGCTGAAGAGGCCTCTGTCCTCCCTTTCCCCACCTGCTTGGACACAGAACAGCCCAGGAGCACAAGTGACCCAGAATAATGAGTGACTCAGACCCCTGCCTGAGACAGGACTGGGCAGAGAGGGGACCATAGCCAACTCCGGGACACATGTGCAGGCACAAATGTCGGGGCAGCCAGGTTGTGGGGGAGGCAGGATTGTAGGAGCAGGTATATGTGGGCCTCAGCCAGGAGACCTGCCATCCCCTCCAGACTGGCTGTACCTCCTGCAGCTGGACCCAGAGGTTTCCAGGGACCCAGGGAAAACAAATTTTAACGCACTCAAACTTGGTTAGCTCTTTGGTCCTTGTGATCAATCCCACCCCAGGTATAACTCACAGAGAAAAGCTAAGTAAATACTAGTTTTCTATGTCCACCCACTTCAAATAACTCACTCCAGCCCCATGGGCACTGAAATGGCTGCTGTGGGTCATTAAGAGCGCAGGCCCAGGACAGAGACCCTGGGCTCCAACCCCAGCTCCACTCCTCCCAGCTCCGGGGCAGAGTGAGAGCCTCACCATGGGCCTTGTTTCCCTCATCTGAAAAGTGGAGATAATAACAGTATTTTCCTTGTAGGTGCGAAATGAGAATGAAGAGTTCGTGTTTTTTAAAGTGCCGAGGGCTGTGCCTGGCCCATAGCACGTGCTAGGCAAGCTTGTTAACTAAACTTGTAATCTAAAAGGTGGAGTCTGCAGACCGTCTCATCCCTACTGTCCACCTTGGAGCCAGACAGCATCTTCTGACATCCTCAGGTCAGGTATCTTGATTCTTGTCAAAAAATATTTCCCAGTGTTTACAACAGGCCTATGAAACCAGAGGTGCCTCAGAAAGCAAACACTGCCTCCTTCCTTCCTAAGTTGCCATTACTGGGGCCTGCTCCACGGTAGGGCCGGTAAGTGGCAGTGGACGCTGGCTGCACTGCCCAACTGACTCCCTTGCAGGACCCAGGCACTCATCCCCCAGCTGCCGGGAGCAGTGGCAGCTAACCAGACCTCTCCAGAGGCCATGACGCGCCTGACACAAAGAACAAAGACCCAGGTCCCTTGCTTCACCTGGGGGTGTCTCTGTTGGGCCATGCCAGGTTCAAAGCTCCTCAAGGGATCAGCCAAGTCGTCCTCATAACCGCACTGCAGCCCAAGCCTGTTCCCTCACTCTGCCACATGTGCTGATCCCATTCCTCAACATGCTTCCTGCCCGCTTATCTCAAGAGACTCAGCTTCCTGGGGAACCCCACCTGGAACAGGGACTGTCATTCCCATTGTACAGATGGGGAAACTGAGACTTAGCTAAAATAACATCAAAGTTTGCCTGATCCACTCTGCCACAATGACCCCTTTTCCTCGTACTTCATACAAAAACAGAACTCTGGGCTCAGTGCTTGTAGCTCAGCGGCTAGGGCACCAGCCCCGTACACCATTTCTACTGATTTCTTTCTAGGCTGCTATTCAGCACGTCCTGGGCTTTAATTATACTTTTGCATCAACTCCACTTTTTTATGCCATTGTGTCACCTCACGAAGAGCATGATCTCTTCATCTGTTCTCTCCCTCAGCTGGAGTACATCCTTAAATACCTTCCCTGTTCCTGAGTTTTTGAGTATCTCAAAAGGATTTATTTTCCCTTTCTATTTGATCAGTAGTGTGTCTGTGTATAGAGTTCTTTTTTTTGAGACAGAGTCTCAAGCTGTCGCCCTGGGTAGAGTGCCGTCACATCACAGCTCACAGCAATCTCAAACTCTTGGGCTCAAGCAATTCTCTTGCCTCAGCCTTCCAAGTAGCTGGGACTACAGGCGCCCGCCACAACGCCCTGGTTATTTTCTTGTTGCAGTTTTTAGCTGGCCTGGGCTGGACTCAAACCCACCAGCCTCAGTGCATGTGGCTGGCGCCTTTACCACTGTGCTATGGGCGCTAAGCCAAGGAATAGACTCATTCTTATGGAGCAAATCACTAAGAAGCTGAAAACGCTTAGCAATATGGTGAAGAAGGTTATGTTTCTTCTCTCAGAAGGGAAGGCAAATAAAAACTCCAGGAAAAATAAGTTTAAAATGATGTATATAAGAAAGTCACATTTATCATGCAGATTACTTTCCAGTCCAATGGGGAAAATGTAACCCAGCAGTCAACCTTAGCATCATTGGTGGTAGTCAACTAAATATCATTTGTGTGTTAATATAGGACAATCACAAATACACATCAGCTCGGATGTATGAGGTTGGATAAATTAAGTTCATGAACTCGTCCTAAAAAGAGTCCTCTATACCTAGTTGCTGAACATCACCGCGGTCACCTTCCAAGTACTCCCCAGCACCTCGTCCACCCTTTAAAGCAGTTTTTCTAGGATGAGCTGGTGAACTTAATTGTCAAGTCTTCAGAAGACAACAGCTCTGATGGCCATGCCCATAGTGCTTTGAAACAGTGTTCACTGTACCTAACGGGTGCCCCCTTCTCCCCCAACTTGATTTCCAGTGACTGTTATAGCTCTCTGTGCATGTATGTGCCCATCCATTACCTCCCAATTATTGGTAAGAATTATGTGGTGTTTGTTTTTCCATTCCTAAGATACTTCACTTAGGATAATACTGTGTTTCCTTGAAAATAAGACCTACCGGCTCGGCTCCTATAGCTCAACCGGCTAAGGCGCCAGCCATGTACACCTAAGGTGGCAGGTTCGAATCCCCAGCCCGGACCCGCCGAACAACAATGACGGCTGCAACCAAAAAAT